CCCCCCCCCTTGTCAAATATTGGGGGATATATCCCCCATCCCCCGGGATCTACGCCTATGATTACAAAATACGACAGCTCTGTTATTCCAAAATATGACAAGATTTGTTACAAAATACTTCAGGTATTACAAAATACGACAAGGTTTATTACAAAATACGACAATTAAATTTGGTATGGCATTTAGCGAGCGCAATAAAAGGATTAATATTTCACAGAATTCACTGAGTAACCAAAATAGGGCTTGCAGCCTGGCTAGATCTCCAATCACAAGAATTTTTCCCAGCCAAAAACGACTGCTGCCCATTTAAACGTTATAATGAGACTTAAAGTATTTAATGTAAAACATGTTGTGTGTGTTGTAAGAAGGATTGCTACATAACAAAAAAATTTTGCTATTATCCTTGGCACGAGTCTAAAAAAATATTAAAATGAAATGAATAACAACTTGTTTCCTTTCATACTCACATGTTGCATTTTGTTACTGTATGATACTAATGCTGCATCGTGTGCTGCGTTATTTTCCTTCTCAGCATTTTTCTTGGAACAAATACAAAAGAAAAAAAGTTCAAAAAGAGAAAAAAAAATTTTCTGTTAGCATTACTACATTGAGCACAATTCACTTCAATGCAATATTTTGCTCTACTGTCATCTTCGTTTTTGAACCATTAAATTTTTCTTTTGTTTATCCTCTCCACCAGGAAATATGTGAGGCCTCACCACAAAACGAGTCTCATGGTTAGAATATCAAACATTGAGTTTATATTATATTTGGGTACATCACATTATAAGCTTTAATTTGGTCTTTGAATGGCTTCACTAGCATATGTAGATTTAAATATTATGTGTAAGAGAACCACATTTTGAGGAAATGGGCCTCCAAGATAAACTAACTTGTATAAATAATAGGACTAGAAATACAGAATATGCACAGAGAACACAGTTTTAGTAAGAAAATTCACTTAAAAAGTTTACGATCATTAAATATAAATATCAAGTTATTCAAAAACATTAAAATCAAATTGTGTTAAATTTTGACTTATGACCTATTTTGGTGATTATCTCAAAATGATTTCACCAACGATGCATCTCATTTCGTGGTGAGACCTCACATATATGCTTTCAGTCGTGCGAGTTTGTTTGACGTTTTGGTGTTTTTCGTGTGGTTTTTTTTTTCTGTGTATGACATATCTCAAAAAGGGCTGCACATACATAATTGAAAATTACAGGGAGTGTTATGGTTAGCTATAACCCAAATAAAGAAATGATTAAATTTTGGTGATGATCTGGAGTAGCTGGGTGTGGTTGTGAGGGCTTTTGTGAAAGTTTAACCAAGTTACAAGGAAGAAATTACCAAGTGTTGGTCACAATCCAAAAAAACTTGAGGGTCATTTAAATTTTTGAGATCGTGCATACAGCATATATTGTATCTCAAAAACTGCTGCACAGATCTTAAATGGAAGATATAGGGAATGTTAGGTGTGACCCAAGGATGAGGTGATTAAATTTTGGTGACCATCCGGAGCAGGGTATGGTTATGAGAACCATTTAAATGAAAACATTCTAGATTAGATATTTTAAAAAAAATAATCAACCTGAATAAAACTTTCATTAAAGTTTAAGCAACTTACTAGGAAGAAATTAAGTGTTGGTGACAATCCAAATTCAGGTGTGTATTTGAGGGTCATGTAAAGTCTTAAGGTCCCAGACCTAATTATCTCTAAAAATAAGCAATGGATCTAAAATGACAATACCCAGATTAGTTTGTCATGTTTCGATGAAGAAATATTTAAATTTTTGTGACCATCTGGAGTAGGGTGTAGATACGAGGACAATTCAAAGGAAAACGTCCCAGACCAGATATTTCATAAACCAATCAACTGATATTTTAATGAAACTTTGAAGTGTTAGTGATGATCCAAATTCGGGTGTGCATTTGAGGGTTGGGTCCCAAACCTAAATACTGTATCTCGAAAATGGATCAATGGATAAAAATGACAATTTCCAGAATATTTTGTCATGTTTTAATGAAGAAGCGTTTAAATTTTGGTCACAATCCAAAGTTGAAAACATTTTATTTTCAACTACTGAAACTATAAAAAAAAATGTGACAACTAGTGCAATTACATTAAATGTGTACAGTGTTTCAGTACTAACTTCAGCTTTTCGTAACTGATTGGGAATATTTTTAATGCATCTTTATATTTAAACATGCAACGCTAAGAACCATTGAATATTTGCATAACATTTCCATTTCATTCATTTCATTTATTTATTTGACCAATACACATTTACAAAAGGTGCAGTACAACAAAAATTTTGTTCTGGGTCAGCTTAAGCAAAATTTTACTATAACTCATTGAGAGTCAGCTGCCCCATACACTAATACTTGGCATGTATTTTTTTGTCAACTATAAAAGTAAAATGTTTAGGTATGTTTAACCAGAAAAAGTAAGGTATTGGCAGGTATACAACTAATACAATAAAAGGCCTAAGCAATTCTGGTTTAAGACGGTTAGTGTATAATTGTTGTTAAGTAGGTGGTAGTTGAAAAGAGAGTTGTCACATTTTTTTTAAGTTTCAGTAGTTGAAAATAAAATGTTTCAACTACTATATGTTGCTAGGATTCTGTGTTCAAAACGTAACATGTGTAGTGACAAGTAGGCTGACAGTGAATTTTGGTGAAATCATATCGGATTACAAAATAAGAAAATGGCCACTCAGAAAAAGAGTCCCTAAAAACCTATAATAAAAGTGGAAATAGTGCCCCTCTTTGAAATAAAAAGTGTTTGGGCGAGATACTGTGCGTGTTTGAAGAAGAGTGAAATGAAGTGAGGTGGGATGGTATTGGTGGTTATCATCATCTGCTACGTTGTTTCATCTTGGGTAGACATTACGTATATTAATTTTTTCCATGACTCTCTTTCAGGTGTCTGGTGGTCTGTCATTAACTTTTATTTACATGCTTAAGTTCATTGTTCATTGTTGAAACCCAATTTAAATTGGGTTTGCTTTATATACATATATACAGTACATGTATAAATGTACTTACAGTTTTCTGATTGTTAAGTTGTTCGCATTCTTTTTTTTTCAACTCCATTTTTTGTTCCAAATCTTTAAGGTTCTGTCCAGATATATTCCCAACATTAAGGCTTTCATATGCTGCTACTGCTTTCCTTTTTGCTTCTTCATGGTTGCGACGATAGTCCCCAATAGGTTTCTGATAAGTTGTATATTTCTGTACACCAGTAGAAAAATGAGATTGACAACATAATTTTATATACTTTAATAATGGATATTATATATGGTAACCTCTTGTAACAATAGAATACTGTATTAAAATTTGCATGCAAGTGGATTAAAACGGCCCGGTAGCTTCTTGAGACTGGGCCCTCCTTCAAAGCAAAATAAGCAGCCATGGACCTGCTTTTGCCGGTTGGGGCCAGGGGCCCTGTCAGGGAGGAAAACCACAGTTCGTTGGGAGAAAAAAAATGTATATTTATTTTCTACATATTAGTGGACTCCAAAATCAATTAAATAAGCCTTTGAAACCCCTAAATTGTCATATCTTTCAGCCCCCATAGGACACTTTCAAGAGATTTTGAGCAATGCCTGACCACACCCACTCCGCCCGTTTGGGACCTCGGACCCCCGTCAGTCAGGAATGCGCACGCATAGTGGTAAATATAAAAAACAATTGAAATGCTCAAAATGGCGTGTAACGTGCTCTAATTTAGTCAAAAAGTGATTTCGAGCATTTTGAAATTTTGACGCATACATACGCACGCGTTACGAAGCACACGCGTAAAGTTAGGCTACAGCACATTTAACATTGACCCGAAGTTAATGCTCACTTAATACGATTTCAAAATTGCAATTGGTTAGGCTGATATGATCGATTATGTAAAAACGCAAAATTGTGCATAGCTGATGTCACGCAAGACTGGTCACCTTGAAAACCTTACCGTGACTATTCCAGGGGAAGCCAAAATGATCGATGAAATGACCGTGTGCGTAACTCGTAGCAATTTTGAGATATGGTGCGAACAGAAATGGGGAGAAAGAAAAAAAAGATGATGATCATGACAATTCCAATAGGTGATCGGCTCGAGAAGCGGATCACCAATAACTGTTTCCTACATGTAGACTTTCTTGGCATAAACATCACCTCTTTCATTTTGGAATTTTCTACCACATGCTCAACCTCCAAAAAAATACACATACTTCCTCAATGGAAATGCAAAGACTTGGTATGTTAAATACTGTGTGTTGGAAATACTTGTATCTTTTGATGGCAAATGTTTTAAGAATTGTTATGGTTCTGAACAATTGCACTTATACACAGACAAAATGGCCTTTCAGCATATAGACAAGTCATCTGCTGGCTCATATTTTTGTAAAATTTATGTGAAGATATGAAAAGCGAAAATGATTGGATGTTTAAACAATGTTGGGTGTAGTTGGTTTTGTCCTTGATTTATCTAGCAGGCTAACATTTTGTTACCAAGATATAACTTACAAACTACAGTACATGTTAATGATGATATTAGAAATGATGATACAATAATAATAATAATAATAATAATAATAAAAATACTAATGATAATGACGATAATAGAAAGAGGATAAAAATATGCTTTTGTTACCTGATCCATTGCCTTTGTGTACGCATGAAATGCATAAATACAGGCACCTTTCTACAACAACAATCATAAAAAAAATTACCAACTATTATTTTATCAAATCTTTATTGTAGAACAGATTTTGATCAAATTTATTACTAAACAATAAACTTATGATTATGCTTTAAGAA